ACAAAGGGTGACTGCAGCCACATCTATGGCGACACGGTCAACAAATGACGGGCGTGTAACATCACTTCCTGCAGATAAATAAATGAGCCTGCTGGGAAAAGAAATGTCCTATTGTCTGTGAAATCCCAAAGACACACTAGATCTGTGGTAGGCTGTGTGATATGGCGTGGGTCCGCACGCTGATATGTGGAAAATGAGGATGCAGGAATCAACACGATGAAAGACCATTGTAGAAATGCGACTGTGATGGGTAGGTCATACATATTTGTAAGTGGTCAAGCTCTGTAAATACACACGATTTAGAATGTTGACAATTGATATAGGTTACAAGAACAACATTGTTGTACATCACTCGTCACTTGACACATATTAGTTGAATAGATCAAAATATAGTAAACAGAAGCTATAAATAAAAGGGTCATTTCTTTCTGTTCTTCCAACTTTTAAATGCCAACCAAAGATCTCAAAACCAGTGTATCGATGTCATAATCAATGCAATTCATTGATTGGGATTTGAACAAATAAATCTATACCATGGGCTTGTTAAGAATGTTCAACAAAGCCGATAGTGTAACATATTTGTAAGAAATTTTGAAAGGTGGGGAACTTTTGAGCTAAATTTTTCACTTTCACAATCCAAAATCAAATGGTCCAGTTATAGAGTTGACGGTTTCATCATGGACTATATAATCACATACTTATATTACTATAATGAAGACGTCATCACACGCACAGGTAGGGTATAATTCCCGCATGCTGCATGGTGCGTGGTTAGTGATGAAATTCTATCACTAACGGTGATATGTATAACAAGTGATATAAGTAAAATACCTTTCTGGGGGATGTGTTTTCTGTATTCAAATGAAACGCAATATTAATGTAGTTAGTGGAAAACTGGCGGGGTATGTCAGCACATTTGTGTCAAAATTATATGATACGTAGCATAACTTTGCCTTAAAACATATCTATCGAAGTATTGAGTTAAAATGAGGTTAGTACGTCCATGCTGCTGATACGGTTTTATATTCCGATCGAGTTCTAAATAAGAACTGGAGGTCAAATAATGTTATATATGTAGTTCCAGTTGAAAATACGTTTAAGTTCATAACTGTACATCAATGCAATTCTCTGTGCTGTGTATTTAATCGTTAGGTTGAATCTGTTTTTGGCTTTATATTTTCTCTATGCAATGAACTACACGTTTGGTAATCGAGATTTGAGTTTATGTCAACATAATATGTAGACGTGTATCTCGTCAGTGGAATACTGAGCAACTGTCAATGGACAGGTGTCACTTATTTCTGTCAGGGTAATCGAGTACATCACGTTTCTTGATTTACTCAAAACACTACTCAGGATTACGACATATTTGATTCTGAAGTTTGTCCTTAATTCAGCCTTAGATATTCTAACTGATTAAAATAACTGCGCTCGCAAAATTGTCTTGCCAGGAGTGTGTTCAGCTAAAGGAGTAGAATTGTGACATTTCAAATTGACATGCTACACATTCTGTGAAATGCCCCATTCACTTATAATTACATTCGCTTGTAAAAGCAGGTGCTAGTTTTCTATCTTGGACATGGACACGACTCTATCTAACCAAAGATGACAGACGTTGCAAAATATTTGAAATGGTTGTTGTCACGTTGGAAACTGACGTCGTTCAGAAATGCTGAATTTACCCCCCGAAAAAGCATGTTGATCAGGAAATTGACAACTGTTATAAACAACAGGTATTTTGTGTTGTGACAAGTTACAACCCTCTCTTTAAACGTCAATTGTCTGATCGGTGACTCTCAGCAAACAACAAACACATGAGGCCAAGCTGCACTCAAACATATCGAATTACTTCCGCCTTTACTTCTTTGGGTGAAACATGGGGTTGTAAAGAATTTGGTTTAACTTTCACCGGAATTCACAGTGTTTTGAAAACAGCACCCGACCATATTTTGGTTGTGCATGTTATACGTGTAGTATTGCAATGTCTGGGTATATTCAAGCATGAGAGTAAACTGCGCCTTCAGTATGGGGGAATTAATGTTAGATCAAAATAATTAGAGAACTTGTTATTAAAAAAATACATCCTTTATAATAATACAGAATATGTACATTACATCGCATTATGTGACCACATTTGTGTAACGAATCCATAAGAAACTCAATCTCAAGACATAAACCCATTACAATCCTATTTTCAATATAGGTGTTTCATCATCATATCTCGCTAAATCCCAGACGTGCATGCTTTTTGTCTTTAACAATGAATTATATAGTTCTGAAGTTCAATGTGTACCCAGCTGGCAATGCTGCACCTATATATTCACAATGTGAAGTTTTGGCATATATGAACTGATATAGTACATTCGATCTTGAATGTGGAAATTACTCAAGGTATGAAGGCGCAATAACCACCTCTTCCACCTTCCACTTTCGGAATCATAAGTACAATTATAGACTACAAAATGCAGTGTTAGATTTGGAAGGAAACACCATAGAAATCGACTAAGCGTGTGTAGTTGAAGTTCTATGGACCACAGACCTTGAAATACGGCGTTTTCATAGCCGACTGTAACGTCATATTTTTTGCGTCACTGTGAGCGATATGACGTCATCATAGTGACGTCCGATGTTCTGTAGGGTGCCTACTTCACGTCTGACTACGAAGATGCTGTCTATGCAGTTCCAATGCCTGGTTTATCGTTGATTTAAAAATACAACGTTTAAGCAATATACAATATAAACTTGGTTTCGTAACTCACATAGATAACCCACTGAAACAAAGACTCAATGTTAATGCGTGCTACATGCGTTTTACATATTGGGTATTGACATGGTCAGAAAAGAATTCTTAGAGCTTACGGTTTCGGCATAACTTTGGAAAAGACTGAGTCTTTTTGCGAATACCTGTTGTCATCACCGACTTTCACGGACTCATTCATATTATTTGCACAACTAGTTTTAATTTTATGCCCACTGGAATTTGTTTCGTTGGAAAATCGAAACTGGTTATTGTTTAGGATTGACCTTATATATTTCTACAACATCTGGTGTTTCATAATAGCAAATCATTTTTGTATGCCTGTAACAACTAGTTATTTTACATGGATATTTGATATTGACCCGGACACACATTTCAGCAGGAGGTAAGCTAATGTAGTTTAAAAATATATATTATTCAAGAAACAATTGTTAAAATTAGTTACCTGATCAGACAACCAAATATTTACTCCCTTTAAAATAACTTGTATTTTAATACACAAGAAATGTTTGACAAACAATAGTTGATGTTTACCGTTATACTTGCCTTCAAGCCAGACCCGAATTGATTTTAAATAGTCCATGTGACGTCGTATAATGTAATCGAGATAAATGTTGTCTATAATAGTGTGTGGAATTGAATACGATATTGAAATTATATACGTGTTCATTGGGCGAGACATTTCAAAACAATATGCAGTATAAGGTGTGAAGATCTTTAGTTGACTAAAGAGTATAGTTGATATAGTTGAACAGTAGAATACTATAAAGATGTAGGGAATCAATGTGGGCCTTGAGTGGGTGTTTTGGGCCTAGTAGAGGAGAGTGACCTAAGCCTGGGCTGGAAGAACTGAAGATTTGGTTTGAAATGGCTCAAAGACAAAACACCAATAGAACTAGCATTTTCAAAATTGACAATTTTATTAGGATATCATCAAAAACGAAATGATGTATAAAAGCATATTATAACTGTAACAAAGCAAATTATATTCAGATCAAACATTTCCGACTCCATACCAAAATTCCCACACATCAAACAAGAAAGAACCGATTCATATTACATCGACAGAAATATATCATATGCACAATGTAAAAACGGACAGTTCATGACATTTTGGTCTCTCTGTCACCACCTATTCGTTTAAACCCACGAAACTGCACAATCCAACAATATGACACTGGAATAGATTTTGTTTGTTATCATCTTTAGATATACTTTGCAACTTGTATGTATTTAAGATTGCATGTGAACTATATATATTCTGTAAACTGATTGTTTGTGTACTCCAAAAAGAAATAAAATCATAAAAAAGATTTGGTTTGAACCTAAGCTCAAACCACACAAGAGTGAATTTTAAAGTGATTGATTTCAGCCTGTCTCACCGGCGTTAAATGCAGGCGTACTCAGATACCATACCGGAATTGTAACACGAATACCCTGCTCATATGGTCTAGGGACGACAGCTGATCAGTCCATCTTTTATCCCCTTAATGCCGAGCTACATGCAGGGTAACAATAAGTAACAAGTATTAATGTACTTTGGTATTACGCGGCCAGGAGATCTTAACACCGACATTCCGCTCTCCGGAAAAACACTTTGTCCACTGAGGCATAGCTGATTACATAACAAAAGCTAACAGAGGGCGAAGCTACATTATGATGGTCAAGCCCATGAATTTTAATATCCTCACATCTCTACACAGTCATGGTGCTCCATAGCCTTCATATGTAAATTACATTTTATTAAAAAAAACCCATTCCTGTAGGTCTCATTGCTCCACAAACAGAAAACAGTTTTACTTGTGGTTTGCACTTAATCCTGTGCACAACGCACATGTCACAATCAAGCAACTTTGGTCGCTTAGAGTGGCTGGATGGGGGACCTTGGTCCGCAAGCTTGACTCCTGTGGAGTTTCTAAGGCTTTGGTTCTGCCCAAGTCTGAAACACAAAATATGTCTCGGAAGGCAAGTGACTTTGTCTGAAATCTGCCTCTGTTCATCCAGCAGTGAATGGGGGTACCCGCTAGGTATCCTATTGGTGTGATTGCAAAGCTTCTAGCGCCTTATAAGGTAGCTTGGGTTGTATTATTCTCCCAGGGAGCTGAGAATGAATTATTATTATTATTATTATTATTATTATTATTATTATTATTATTATTATTATTATTATTATAATTATTATTATTATTATTATTATTATTATTATTATTATTATTATTATGTAAACCTCTTGTGCTTGCAGAGTGTCTGCTCTCTTGGAACCATCGAGATCAGAGTGGAGAGACTTGAGGTTTCGGCTGGGTACGACTGCACACAATGCCAGCTGATGATTCGCGTGTGCGTGTTCGAGAGGGGGCGGCCACAGTGTGAGGACTTCCAGGAAAGTCAAGTACTAGGTACGACCTTTTTACTTCTACTCGTTTAGCAAAGACAGCACTTAATATGGTCAAATCGTGAGATGTTTTACATGCAACGGATGCTCTGATAACGTCGCGTTAGTGAGTCAACGGGTTTTGAGCGGTAGCAACCAATAATATATTATGAACTACAGCACGTGTTTTGTCTTTGGTAAAACAGACGAATTCAAGTCGAAATATTTCTGGCATTATAAGAGCAGTCAGTATCCACTGAACCCATCACAAGACATTCTATAAATCTTCTGAATTGCAAATAAAGAAGTATTTAGAAATAAAAGAGATCGCTGGTCGCTGAAATATATGTAGATTAAATTTTATATAACAAATATAGACCGTTAGAATATGATTAATAGAACAACTTCAACAGCATATATAGACGATGTTAAGTTCAGAAAGGAGGGTTTTGAAAAGCTTCAGTGTTCCTCTATCATAATAGAGAGTGATCTGGAATAAGAGGTGTTTCATCTAACCTTGAATCTATTACAGTCGGTATTCGTCATTTTTCGTCATTTAATCAGTCCCAATATGCTTTTGTAATTACTCTTAATTACAGTAGTAAACAGACGTGTGTAGTTCTTAAAACTTTTACTCGCCGCAGAAGGATAACGGTGGTAATGTAACGCATTTTGCGAAACCACATCAACATTTACAATTACTTTTAATCCACGAGTAAACATTGAAGATATTTAAGTGGTACAATGACCTTAACACCACTAGTGAGGAAGTGTTTGCGTCGATGAGAACCAGAACACATGTCATTTTTTATCGAGGGAAAAGCGTTCAAAACTCCCCCAACAAACCCTAAAAACTAGCGTTTCTTGGAATGAAGTAGGGAGTAGCCTACATCCTCGAGAGCGGTGAGAATCTTGGCAAGTCGTCATGACCTACTAAGACATCCATCAGGGTGGTAATACAGTTAGCTCTGACATTTGACAGTCCTATAAAGAACATACCTATGTCAAGACATTTACCCGCCTTCTAAGTCGCGCAATTCCGCCCAAGTCAGTGTTAGCAAACTGTTGACTTACCGATATACTTGCCGACCTGGGTATATGTAACGCTGAAACCGACAGGACTCCGACAACACGTAGTATGTGAGGAGGGATTGGCATATTGAACCATGTCTTAACAGATGCAGATGAGTTGGTCTGAGATAGATACCCAGCTATGCGGAGTGATGAATGTAAGACCCGTGTCTGAAACACCCCTTACCAAGCAATGCGGAGTGATGAATGTAAGACTCGTGTCTGAAACACCCCTTACCAAGCAATGCGGAGTGATGAATGTAAGACTCGTGTCTGAAACACCCCTTACCCAGCAATGCGGAGTGATGAATGTAAGACCCGTGTCTGAAACACCCCTTACCCTGCAATGCGGAGTGATGAATGTAAGACCAGTGTCTGAAACACCCCTTACCCAGCAATACAGAGTGATGAATGTAAGACCCGTGTCTGAAACGCCCCTTATCCAGCAATGCGGAGTGATGAATGTAAGACTCGTGTCTGAAACACCCCTTACCAAGCAATGCGGAGTGATGAATGTAAGACTCGTGTCTGAAACACCCCTACCCAGCAATGCAGAGTGACGAATGTAAGACCCGTGTCTGAAACACCCCTTACCCAGCAATGCAGAGTGATGAATGTAAGACCCGTGTCTGAAACACCCCTTACCCAGCAATGCGGAGTGATGAATGTGTCATGAATGTTACTAAGAGTGACAAAACCCTTTGCATATTCATAAGCAGTCTCTGGAAAAAACATTGTCCATTGTACGATTCCGACTATATCATAAGCATGTGTCTAGGAATCAAACCGTTGACGTCCGTCACAAACACATACAAAGGCAAGGCAATTGTTAACCTTAAAAAAACACAGGAAAATATGGTACATGTCAAAATAGGGAAGTGGACATATTTTCTGTCACTGATGCGTCTAATTTTGAAATATCCTCCTCGTGTCGACCATAAAACTGTGTGAAAGCTTTACCCACGCCGTCAATATTGTAACCTGATTAATCCAAATTTGAGCAAGAGTCGTATGACGCTCTTTGAAATTTTCAGAGAAAGTGCATGCTTGACTGTACCTCAAAAGATAAATGAAGACAACAAAAGCTGCAGCTCGACATAAAGAGAAATTTGACTGTTGGAAGGTTGAAGCCCTTCCTCTGGACATACTGTCTTGTGGAGAGTTTTCTGTCAATCTGAATCTTTTTGCACATCTACGAGTATTAGCACATGCTCAAGAGAAGTGACTATCTAGGAATAAGCCACCCAGTGGTTATTGAGCAATGTAAATAAAGCGACAAAACCCTTTCCATATCCAATAGAAATATCTACATTAAGCAGTGTCGGTAGTACAATTCCGACTGTATCATAAACATACGTTTATGAATCACTATCAAATGGTGATGATACCAGGTGTTCGCGAAAAGGTCAGCGTATCCTGTCCCACCAGTGGCACGCGTCGCAACACATGCAAAGACAAGTCAATTTTCACCTGAATAAACACGGGAACAAATGGTTAAGTCAAAATAGGAAATCATATCTGACATCATTTCTGAGGTGAGGTGAAATGGGGTTTAACGTCGCGTCCAAGATTATTGCACTTATATAGCGACGTGCATGTACGTGTGTGTGTGTGTGTGCGTGTGGCTGCTTGTACTAGACCGGACTGATGCCGATTTATAGTGCTAGCTCACTGAGATACCATGCCGCAGTTTAACATGAATACCCCACTCAGACACAGTATACTGACTCCGAGCCGACCAGTCCTTGTTTTAGCCCCTTAATGCCGAGCGCCAGACAGGGTAACAACAAGTACCATCTTTTAACGTCTTTTGGTATGACGCGGCCGGGGATCGAACCCCGGACCTTCCGCTCTCCGGGCGGACGCTAGACCACGGAGACTGTCTACATCAATTTTGGTCACTGATACGTCAAATTCGGAAATGGCCTCCACATGTCTACCATAAAACATATGTATCCGAAATGTGTTGTAACGCATTGTTACAATGCATTAAAGTCTGTTATTTGTTATTCGTAAATATGCATTTATTTAAAGTTCAAAATAGGTTCATAAATATAAGAGTTTCACTGACGCACACATTATGAACTTAATTTAAATGCTCATTATGAATAACAAATAACAAAGCTAATGCTAACAATGCGTAACAACACGTTTCGGATTACCAGACACCATAATTTAATTAATAGCCCTGCGCAAAGCAAAGGGAATGATAAGCCTGGCGTCCATTTGGTGTTCAGATGGGGACTGGGATGGGATTGTGTTTTCTTTGACTGAAAAAAAAAATTCGTCTTCAGGTATTACTTAAAAATATTTGAAAAACTGGTAAAAAAATAAAATGTACGGCATCTCCTTTCACTGAATAAAATTGCGTGTTTGGAAGCAGTGACCCAAAATATCCTGCCTCAAACAAAAAAACAAAAACAAGAATTTCTCCCCCTCCCCAAGAACATTAGATAGTTAATCCTTACATTAGTGATGTCACATGCATACATTTAATCTCTGACTAGACGATTTCCTCTGCTACCCCTCGGTATACAGCAAACACCAAGGGCGGGTCCAGATAGCCAGTGTGACACAACCAATGCATTGTACTCCTCGAACGTGGCTAAGTACACATTGTGTACGTACCTCTCGTGACTGTAGTATCACAGTTGAGATTACTTTTTGTTGATTGTCCGTTTTTATTCGTGTAAGATCCATTTGTAAATAATTTCTTTAAACAATGTTTTGAGTGCTTTCAAGAACATATCATTTCTGTGTCCATGTTTTATCGTAGCAACAACGGGCGGAAATGGAGCGGGATTGCAATAGGAATTTGTATTCATGAGAAAGTGACAGGTAAACACGGGCATTTAAAACTTTTTCTCACATCCTTTAGATGTTTCCTTGTTTATCGTGATGTCAGTTTATGTAGGTGTTATTGCCATTATTTTAGGGATGAAAATATAATGATTCTGCGGATAGCAATGTCTTTATAATTACATGACCACCTTTTCAAGAAATGTTATTATTCTCTTGATCGTGAGATTATGTTATTTGTCATGGACGTGTGTTTTCAAACACGTTTTCTGTGAAATTGAATTTATGCCAAACTGGTAATCAAAATATCCAAAACGTCATTATGTGTTTATGATGTATGGAAACAACTGGCTGGAGATAAAAGCGATTTGGACTGTGTATATTAATAAGAGAATTAACAGGAAAATAGAAGAACTCTTCCTCAAAACTTGTATTTTATCCCAGATCATGTTGTATTATGAAAGCTGATGAGGACGTTAGTGTAACGATGGAGCTGAACAATCTCATTTTTTCACAACACTTTTTAGGGGTGTGGGTAGGGTAGGGTGTGCCCATACCAGTGTCTGCACCCCGTTTTAAACCCGGTAGTATATACCAGTATCTACACCCCGTTCTGAACCCCGGTAGTATATACCAGTGTCAACATCCCGTTCTGAATCACGGTAGTATATACCAGTGTCTACACCCCGTTCTGAATCACGGTAGTATATACCAATGTCTACACCCCGTTCTGAATCACGGTAGTATATACCAATGTCTACACCCCGTTCTGAATCACGGTAGTATATACCAGTGTCTACACCCCGTTCTGAATCACGGTAGTATATACCAGTATCTACACCCCGTTCTGAACCCCGGTAGTATATACCAGTGTCTACACCCCGTTCTGAATACGGTAGTATATACCAATGTCTACATCCCGTTCTGAACCCCGGTAGTATTCACCAGTGCCTACGCCCAGTTCAGAACCCCGCACCAATGTCTACACCCCGTTCTGAACCCCGGTAGTATATACCAATGTCTACACCCCGTTCTGAACCCCGGTAGTATATACCAGTGTCTACACCCCGTTCTGAATCACGGTAGTATATACCAATGTCTACACCCCGTTCTGAACCCTGGTAGTATTCACCAGTGTCTACGCCCAGTTCAGAA